ATGAGGGCCACGCTGGCCACCTGCTGAGGGCGCACTCAAGCGTCACCCTAACTCCACCCTCGTCCGCTGCACAGACACCGAGGTCCATGTTGCATTGGTTTGTTTCATCATCATTTTTTACTCCAACTCTGTTCACTCTCTTCGGCAAGCAGCCCCGTTCCTGTCTCCAAACCAGCAAGGGGTCCCCCCAGCCTGGCTCTGCACCCTGCTCTGTGCAGGGGTCGACTCTGGGAATGCAGCAGCAGGGGCTGCCCGTGGCACAAGCAGGACTGCCATCCGGGAGGACTGCCAGGACCTGGTGGCCATCAGGGTGAGGGGTGCCCAGCAGATAGGGCGGGGCTCACGTGGCCCCTGCGTTTCCCACGTCTCCTCTGGGAGAGCCCTTGTGGCTGCTTCTGTCCCCAGATGTCCCGACTGGTGCCGTCTGCAGGAAGGTGAGGACTGGGCTGCTGTCACCGAGGTTCTCCCTCCCCAGAACCCACAGCGAGAAAGGGTCATGAGGCTGCTGTCCATTTCCTGCATGCCCGTGGGCTGGCTGGCAGCCCAGCCCTAGTGTCCCTGGGCCAGGCTGCGGCAGAAAGGGCCAGGAACATGGGGCAGAGGATGCAGTCAAAACCACTGACGGGCCAGCGATGGACCTTTTTGTTTTCATTTTTCCTGTTCGGTGGAAGTATGTCTCATTGGGCTTGTTGAGGGTGGAGTGTTGGAGTTGTGGGGTTCTGTGCCCCTGCTAGTCACTGTGCGCACCACAGGGCTGTGTCTGCGTCATACCCATAGCTGTCGAGAGGGCCCAGGGCGGACCTGAAGAGTCGCTCACAGGCAGAGCAGCTGCTGGGCAGCACAAGGGGGACCCTGGCACAGCCTATTCCCTGTGGCTGGCCAGCTTGGGCAGGAGACTGGATTTTCCTGAGATGACCATGGTCCTTTGTGACAGTTTAAATTTCCCTTTTGATGAAAACTGTCACTTTAGCATGTAGAGTAATCTATTACAGAATCCTGTGCAGTGATTCTAGAATTTTGAAATTGTATGATGTGTTACATAAGAATTTATTTGCTATTGACATTCCCGTATAAAGAAGAGAGAGACATATCACGCTGCTGTAATGATTTTGTGTCAAGATGATCCAATAAAGTTGCAAAACAGACATTCACGTGTGGGTTCTCCTGCCCGTGGCCGTGTGTGCCCTCGGCAGGGAGCAGTACCCGGCCCCGGGCTCTGGATGGCCTGAGCTGCTTGGGGGTCACAGGGGCTGCCGGAGACTGCGCCTCATGTGCCTGCAGCTCATGTCCCCTCGGGAGGCCACCACAGTCTCTGATGTGCCAGTCAGGCTCCCAGGACGGGTGCTAACGGCTGAGGGAACCCCGACCTCCACCCGTGCAGTCCCCATTAAACGTGCACGCCAGAGTGTCTCCTGCTGTCCCCTCCTTCCTAGGGGAGAGTGACTGGTCCTCCGTGTGCACTGCCATGTTTCTGCTGGCCTTGCTGGCCATGCAGAGACCAGGGACCGCGAGGAAGGACACGTGGGGCAGCAGAGGGCAAGAATCTGCACGGCTGGCAAGGCTGTAAGTGGGAGATGAGCAGCCCCGACACAGACCAGACCCCGGGCCCAGGCCCCTCTCCGGCACGGGTGCCACTGCCCCACACAGCGTCCCTTCTTCAAAATTGGTGCAAAAATACGTGAGGAGCCTCTTCCCCATTATTCTTAATGTCTCTCTCAGCCCCTGGCTGGTGTCCATTGAAGGCCCCAGAAGGAAGCACTTAGATGTCAGTGGCAGGGATAGTGAGGACCCGGCATGACTGGTGGCCAGGTCAGCAGCCAGACAGCTCTAACACGATTCCCAGCATCCCCTCGGAAGTGCTTTCTGGTGAACACGGTGGCTGTCATCTGGGTTCAGTCACCCCTACATGCCAGAGCACAGGAGCCACAGGCAACTCCAGGCAGCAAGGAGACCGCACAGACCCAGGCCACAGCAGCTGCACAGACGACACCAGCCCCGGTGTCTCCTTCCCCGTCTGCATCAGTTGTTGCCACAGACAGACAACGGACAGAGTCCTGGTTCTGGATTCCTGTCCTGGCTTTCACAAAACTGCAACCTCGTTTTGCATAAAAACCCACTTGCCCAGGATGCTTGTCTTCCCACGAGACTACCAGTCCCTGCTGGGGCACGGGAACTTTTGGGAGTCCCTGGGCCCACTCCCTGAGGCCCCGTGAGTGTGGCACCGTATCATCTGGGCCTCCCAGTTGTGGCCCCAAGGCCAGGTCCTGTCTTGCTTAGTTGGAGTTGACCTCTCCAGAAGCCCCCTGCCAGCTCCCTAAGCCCCCCAGATGGCTTCTCGTGTCCCAACAAGAACTGTTCTTTGAAGAGAAATATCAGGGCTCTTTAATCATTCCAGCAAATGGCTCTGTGACCCTGCTGTGTACCCATCTCCCCTCCCCCTCGCTCCCACCTTTGCCTGCTCTGCCCTGTGGGTGGGGGTCAGGGGGAGCAGGAGGTGGCAGCAAGCCTGCTTCAGGGCAACAACATGCTGGGGCAGGCCGGGGCTGTCAGTGCTGGGCAAGACACTTGGAGGCACTTTCCAAGGTCAGGTTGGCCAAGTGCTGGGGCTCCAGACACGTGGAGCTTGGCACTACCTGGTTTGGGGACAAGGGCACCCTCAGCCTTCCTCAGCCCTCCCCTGCCCTCTCCCCAGTGGGCCTCTGCTGGGGCCTGGGCCCCTCTTCCCAACTGGGACACCTGGCGGTCCTGTGTGGCGGAGGCCCCGCACCCACCATCGTCCCTGCTCTCTCCAGACTGTGGCTGCAAAAGGGATGGGGGAGGGGGCCTGTGGCAAACTGGCCATGGGGCTTTGATCTCTGCTTTAGGTGCGCCCCTGCCTCCAGAGGCCACTCTCTGGGTCACTCACAAGGCTGGGGTGGTCCTGCAGTCCTGCGAGGAGCAGGAGCAGCGCAAAGTCTATGCATGAAACGATCACACAGGTGTGGTTGCAGCAGCCAGAGACGGCGCTGCTCGTGGTGCCCTGCCCCCGTCCGCTCCCACTGACCCAGAGGACCCCACAAAGTCTATGCATGAAACGATCACACAGGTGTGGTTGCAGCAGCTAGAGACGGCGCTGCTCGTGGTGCCCTGCCCCCGTCCGCTCCCACTGACCCAGAGGACCCCACAGCACCCTCTCCTCGTTCCCTCTGCCCGCCCCTCCCTGTGGCAGACCAGGGCAGCCTTACCTCATCTTGATGTCCTCTTTGAAAGACAGACATGACAGGGCCCCAGTTAGACCCCAGGCTTGGGAGCACTCAGCCATCGTGGGGAGCCCTCCCGGGCTCTGACCACCATTCTGCCACCGACTCAGGGTAGGACCAGACTTTGGGGACCCTTTAGCCAGGATGGTCTGCTTGAGGGAGGTAGGGGCTGGGGCTGCCTCCTGCACCTGCTCGGAACACAGGCCAGGTCCTGCATCTTAGTGGCCCCTCCAGGAGCTGGGAGCTGCGGGACCCTGCCGCCACACATATCCCAGGAGTACTCTTGTGCACACACACACTGTGGCAAAGCTTGTGTTGGGTTTGAGGAGAGGGACTTACTTGTGCCACTTATTTCTACAATGACAGGGGGTTTGGGGTCAGGGGGCCAAGTGGCCTTGGTCCATGTCCCCTCCCTGATCCCAGGTGGCAAGCTGCTGCCTCCCAAAGACCCCAACTCACAAGTAAACAAGGCCCTGCACAGCTATCACCCACTTCGCCAACGTCCTGTAGGACACGGAGCTTGGAGGTAGCACGCCCCCAACCCCCAGATCCCACCCGGCCCAGGAGATGAAGGCCAAGTAGAAGGTGGAGGGGGAGCCCCCCCACCCCGCCAAGAAGATCCTGGGCCAGCCCCGGAGCCTGCTCACGGTTGTAGCCAGAGCAGATGATGTGAGAGTCTGTGCAGCTGTTGCAGGAGATGGCGTCCTACTGGAAGATGCCTGCAACCTGCAGAGAAGGGCTGCCACGTGCCCCTTGGCTGGCTGGTGGGAGGGCCACTTACCACAGTGACACAGTCAGTGCGGCTTGTGGGAGGACAGGATGGCAGCGCGTGCTGACCACGTCCCCAGCCCTGCCCACCTCCCAAAGTCTGACACAGGCTCAGGGCCGTGTCCCTGTGACCCAGAGGGAAGGGGTTCCCAAGGTGGCTCCCAGTATGGAACGGAGTAAACGCGGGGGCAGGGACAGTTGCAACAGTCCCAGGGCCTCCAGGGGACCAGTTGGGGAGGCCCTAGGGAGGAAGTGGTATCTATCCTGCCCGCGCGGGACGGGGGACCACTGGTGAGAAGGGCCCTTCCCTGGGGAGCTGCCATGCTCCCCCTTTCTGTCCTGTGCCATCTCTCCGGCCTCAACCACGCCTGGGTGCGGGGCCCCCAGCATGGCAGGAGTTCAAGCCCTGTGGGGACTCTGAGATGGTCTCGTAGCACTCGGTCCTGAGGCCCTGGGCAGCACCCCTGGCCCGAGAGCCCGCATCTGCTCACTTGCAATGATGGCACCTGGATGAGAAGCACCTGCTCACGAAAGATGGTTCGCAGCTCACTGGGGAAATACCCTGCTGGGGGCAGGCAGGAGGAGGAAGGTCAGGCTCGGGCGCGAGGAGGAAGGTCAGGCTCAGGCGCGGGGCGGAGGTCGGGCCGGCCCTGCCTCAGTTTCCCGCCCTTACCCGGGAAGTACATCTTCCCCTGGTACAGCCGATCCATCCTCTGGTACCCGGCGGCCGCCACGTGGTCCAGCTTCTCCCGTCTCGCCGGGCGGTCGGGGCGGACCCCGGGCCGGGCTGTGGCACTCACTGATCTCCGCGGGGATGGCCGGGTGCAGCTCCTTCCTCGTGTCCTCGCTCCAGCCGGTGAACGGCGCCCCCGACGCGGGGCTGTCGCCCATCCCCCAGGACTTGAGATACACGTGGTGGCGGTAGAAGAACTTCTCCGAGAAGTTGCTGCGCCAGTGCAGGCCGCCGCGGGCCAGCGCCGCCATCCTGCCCACGCACAGCAGCAGGGCCACGGCTGGTCCCCGCCGCTTCTGCTCAACAACCA